TGCTGAATTCCAGGAACAGGTCACAAGTAACCCTGCACACCAGAAGCTCTGCAGGCTGATGAGGTCTCAAACTTAGAGTCTGTTTTCTTCTGCATCACAAGATGTAAGATTACTGACATTATCATTGTACGTTGCTTCATCTCCTTCCTCAACCACATTGCTACAATGCCTCTGAAAGGGGAACTTAGAGCTTCAGTAACTGAGGTCAACTCAACCACTCCATCATTAGGAAAAAAGGAAGACATACTCTGAATACATTATATACCTCTGGAATTTAATATGCATGGATTCTTCAGGTGGAACCTTTGGCTGCACAGGATTGGTGTACTGCTAGAACTACACACTTTATTAAATGTCAAATAAGAAATGATTTATGGATCCAAATATAGCAAACAATATGCTTATCTTTAAATATAAACTCTTTATTTCCAATACACTTATATGCATAAATGCAGGGCTAGAAATCACAGAATATTAAAGCTTATGTATATAAATAAGTTTATACATCAGGAAACAACAACAACAAAGTTTAAAATATAACTCACCCTAGATATTTTTGTAGTTGCTGAAGATCTTGTTAACCTCTAGCATTACAGGGAACATTTAAGAAAAAGAGAACACATTATTTTGCCAGTTTGGGGAGGAGCAGGTTGGTTGGCTGGTTTTTAGTGCATTCATTCAGATACTTGTTAACCTTCCCTTTACAAATTTTAGCAGCACGTCAGGGACAAATAATTTTTAAAATGAGGAATTGTACCTTAATGCCACAGAAATGAACAGTCAAATCCAAAGTAAGGTGTTCAAAAACTCTTCCAACTTCTTATATTTTACTGATTATACTTGGTGGTATCTCTTTGATGCTATGACTGCATGGTAGATTTAAAATACAGTGTTTGGGGTATCAAATAATTTATGTAAAATATATAACTTATTCTTGCAAGCAGTTGTAAATTTGTTCAAGAAGGAAACATTTTAATTGCATGACCATTAAAGAAATCATTGCATGATATCTTTTTTTCAATAATGAACTCCACTTTAAGGAAAATTGAATAGGTAACATTCAAACTCTTCAAAATTATCTCAAAGATATTTTCAAAGAAAAGAAAAAGGTGCAGAATTATTTCATTCCCCCCAGAAAAACTTTTTGAATAGAAACTGATAAAAAAACCCTCATCTGTAACTTTATTTGTTGAAGAATCTGTAACAGTAATTTCTTGTTAGTTCTACTATGCAATGAGATGACTGAAAGCAGAAGATAGAGAAGAAATTGTAATTTAAATAGGCATTACACAATTTTTTTCCAGAGTGCAGAAATAAGTCATCTGTACAATTACAAAAAGATCTAACAGAAACACCACAAGATTTGATTCACAGCAATCAAAACATTGGTGAGTGAAAAGGAAAAAGCAAAGGTGGGCTGCAAATTCTTTACTGAAATATTAAAAATTGTTTTCTTGATGCTCGCAGAAGGAGCTCTGAACGCCCAGGCAGGCTCCCAGATGACAGAGAAAAAATACACACTCATAAGCACTGGCACACAAACCTTCATATCAGCAAGTGAAGAGAAAATTATGGCAGTCTAGGAAAAAAAAAAGCTTATGAAGCCATTCTGGAATGAAGCTACTGGAATGTCTCTACATAGCACTTATGTTGTTCTTAGTGTTTGAGTAACACCTATTCCTGGACCAGTGTTGTAGACACCCAAGTCATCTTTGTGAGTGATGTGCAGCTTCCAAGGGAAGAAATGCTTCTCAGAGGGTCTTTTCTTGCTCTGAGACACCATGAGTTCAACATCCTGGTCAGAGAGCAACCGGATCAGATCCCCATCAACGTCCTGGTAATTCAAAGCAATGTCATCTTGGTCAAATTCCTGCCTGGTGGAAAAGAAAGTGATTGATCCCCAGAAATGAAGGAATGTCTGGAAGGTACTGCATGAGGAACAATATACTGGCAATCTAATTCGTTCTGGTAAAAGCCATACAAAGCCTTGGGTGTCTTGGCATTCTTGATACAGCTAGTACTAGAAATCATACAGAAATGATAAATTTTATAAATTCAATATTATAAATACTAGAAATCTGTTAGAACCAAGAACCTGTTTCAGTAACATCACCAGCATGGCACAATTCATATGTGAGTTTGATAAAATTCCCATACATGGGTTGACTATATTTACTACCCACTTTTGCTTACTTATGATCACTTTTTTTTGAGGGGAAGACTGGTTGAGGAATGAAAGAATACTGGCACAGGGGGTTTATTGCTAATATTTGATGTTCTACTGTTTTGACGTTAAACACTAAATGAATCTGATTTAGTACTAGTTTAATAGGGGTTAAAAGGTGGTGTTCTGGATCCTGAAGAGGTCTATCAGACAAAAGAACCTTGCAGGGGGTGTGGTTCTGACATGAGAACAAGAAATGGAAACTTCTACCCAGCACAGTTGAGTTAGAAGTATGTGGCATTCCATCCTGCCTGAAAAACCCAAGGTGGACCAGTGTCTGCACAGTGTCTGCCCTAGGCCAAGTCAAAGGATAACTTCTTCAGGACTCTTGAAAGGTATTTCACACCCAAATCATGATGACCACCAAGTAGAATGGGGAAAATACAGGACTGGAAGGATCCTGACCAAAGTTTAAATGATATTAAACATTCAGGTAACTGCTTGCATTGTACCTCATCAATTCCATGAGATCTTTAAATGATGGAATGCTGCTCAGATCCTCTTCCACTGAGATGTCCCTGTAGCAAGAATAAATCTAATCATTACATATCATGAAAAGGGAATTGTTGGCATTTCTTCAGCAGCAAACTGCAAGACTCTCATTACCTGACAGTGCTCACAGTCTCACCATGGTAGTAACAGCGAACTTTATTCACTGCACCCTCCTGCTGTGGTAAATCTTTTATGATCTTCACAAAAGCACATGGGAAAATCCCAGTGGCATCATCAGCTGTGCCCTGGGATGACAGGAAGTGTTAGAATGAAGCAAATAATGTCCTTTTGGGCACATATAATAAGTTCTGGAATTCAACTCATTTTCGTGGAAACAACAGTAAGAACTTTTCTGCTATAATCAAGAAAATAATGTCTATGGAAGTGACCTGGTGGCATCTCTACTAAAAGATGATACAATTGCACAGTCAAATACAAGGCAGGGGAGTGAAACAGTGTGTAAAAAATGGAAGTCAGATGGTTACCAAGAAAGGCTGTGGGGTTTGAGCAAGCAGAGATACCATATCAGCAAACACACAGCATGTTCTCCTCATCCTTTTTCAGGACACTGCTGCATTGCCCAAGCTCTCTCTAATCATGCTGACGTGCATTGTGGTATGAAGCATGAAGTATAAAGCAACTCACCCTGAGGCAAGAAACCAATTAATCACTGAAATGGAGTTTCCATCTCCTTTCTGTGGCCTTTTTGTGTTCTAATCACTTCCAAGGAATTTAAAAACATTCCAGCAGAAGCAAATGCAAATGAAAACTGAAGTCTAGAGGGCAGAAAATTTGTAAGATAAGAACCATCAAGGAAGGAAATGATTCCAAAGCTGGAGGAAAGGATGTATTCTTGAGAGGAAGACCTGATTATCATACAGTTTCTCCTTGAAAGGAGGAGACAAGTCCCAAGGTCCAGGAAAGCCCTTTCTACTCATGTATTTCAAGGTAATAAATTAGTACCACTATTGCAGTCTTACCTCCAGCCAGTCTTTATTTACTCTGCTGAGTAGATAGATCAAGTCTCCCTTCTTGAAGCTGAGCTCCAATTTATTGGTTCCAGAAAAATCAAACAGTGCCTATGGAAAGTAAAAACAATTAAATGATTAATTCACAGAATTGCAAAAGTCAACCTCTCTTTCCATTCTTCTCTTGGGGTGAGAGCACAAAGCAGCACCATAGTACACAGCGTGTCATCATAGATGTGTTCCTGGGCTAAGGTCATATATATATGACCATAGTCTGCAATTTTCACACAAAAATGCTCTGAAGAAGTAGTGAAGGCACTAGGATAAACACAGCTATGAGAGCTACATGGTAGGATTCTTAAAGTAGCAGGGCACTGAACAGCAGAGAAATAAATATAGATGTTGAAGACACCTAAGAGAAGGTAAATCAACAGAGCTGAAGACAATCCACATCCTGAAAACCTGAAATCTTGAAAATTGAAAAAATATGTATAATTTCTGGTTGCAGTTTTACAGCTTTCAGATTCATTGCAAAGCATCACATAGAAGAACTTAGATGCACCCTTCAAGGAAAAAAGGGGGAAAAAAAGAGGCAACCACATGCTACCACCCTACCAGCCCTGACAAGCTGGTTTTGATTCATTCAAATGACCAAATTCCTTGTCCTTGGAGAACATAGCAGTCATTTAAATGCTTTTAGAGGAGCAAAAATGAAAATATGTTCTTTATTCTGTGTTGAGATGATTCTTTTGGTCTTGTTAATGCCAAGAGTTCTCCTAAGGAAAAAAAAAAGACAATGGCTACTGTTGTGCTAGTAGTTCATATGTTGACTTGATAGCACTTTCAAAAGCTTTTTTTCATCAATTCAAAAGTTTTGGTAGCTATACTCAATATTAATGAATTAATAGATGAAACAAGAGATATGACTGATCCAAGTTCTGTCATACTCAGGGTAAAAAACAAAACCCAACTAACCTCAGAGCATTTGCATGGGGTTTTTTTCTATCTTACATGGCAAAGTGACATGTTCCAGGAAGCAAGAGCATGCTCAGACAAGCCCTGGCTACAAAGCAGTTCCATGTGCTTAAAACCAAGACAATATACAGCAAAAGACAAGAGTACAGACACTACTCAGTATAACACATCACAGAAAATACTAAGATGCCTCACCTGCAAAGTTTCTAAACATAGGCTGAAGTCGATGAGACTGAAGCTTGTGCTTGTTATAAATTTAATTTATGGCCATCACTATGTAAATATGGATCATTTGTCAGTGAGCTGTACTCATTTTGAACCTCCTTCCATTCTGGCTTCAAAACAGACCCTCTTACTACTAAATTAAGGAGGCACAGAAAACTTCTTTCCATCTTTTCATCCCCTGTTGTTAAAATCAATTGCTTTCCTGTCTTGATTTCAGCTTCCTTTCTTTCCCCTAGCTCTAATTGGAAAAGGCAGCTTGATCAATGAGATATCAGAGTGAAAGGGATTTTAATCTTCTATCCTGTGGCAGATTGTGGAGAGTACTCACCTCAGCCCGTGGAGCTGCCATGCGGTCAAAAGGAGGCACTTGAGGGGAAATGCTTTTCCTGCAAATAAAGCAGGCAATAAAGAGGCAAATATGTCTTTCTAATCTTCCAAAATATTACACAATCAATAGTGCAGTCTCTGTATTTGTGTTATTTAAGAGGCAGTCAAGCCATAGATCACCGGAGAAACTGTATGAGGATCTGTGTGCAGGAATGAAGTAAATAAATAGGAGATTCAGTTTAAACTCTGCTGTCATACAGATGTTCTAGGGACGTGTCCACACCTGGAGTTTTTGCCCTGTTTGAGGTAAGTGAAAAGGAAGTGGCTCCATCTTTGCTATGTTGAAAGGAGAATTAATTTGACTGAAAGGTAATGAAGTATGACCTCTACTTAGCAGTTCTCCAAATGGGTATCAATACTGCTGTGTAGGACAGGCCCCTGTCTAGACTAAGGACAGGAAAAATGAAATATTCAGTTTCATTTAGTGTCTGAACCATGTCTCGTTGAATTCAGTGCCAAAACTCACATGGACTTCAGTGGTGCAAGCTTGGCCTGTATATTCTGCACATTATAACAAATATTACCATTAAATAATTATTAACAGATAGAGCTGAGCAACATTTTTTTAAAAGCAAGCTACACTCTTATTTTGGAAGTTTCCTTTAATGCAAGCACCACATTCACTTTAAACATTTGAGATGATGGAAAACAAAAAAAAATAGGCTGTATTCACTCTACCACAAAGATTCTCCTATTAAGACTTCATGGATTCCCCTGGGAAACACAGTGGTGATTCTAATTTCTCTCTCCCCCTCCAAACTGGAGAGCATCTCTTCCATCAGTGCTGAAAACAACATGTCAATCTCTTACACTCGGCGTGTCCGTGGGCGAAGGCGTCTCAGCCTGTGAGGCACCTGCTCCCCATCAAAGGTGGAGTGGTAGAAGAACAGCCGAACCTCTTCATCCATCAACACCCAGGCGGGTAGGCAGAGTAGATTCTGTGCCAAGAACAAGTAGGAAGCAGAGTGTAACAGTGGGAGAGACCAGTTCTCTCTTTATTTACATCTTAGAGCTATGCCTTTCTGACCTACAGGATCACGAAGGATATTCATTACTGCCAAAAAAACTCCCTCCTCTCCCTTCTCACTCAGCAGGACATGGCTGAAGAGCTGACAGTTCCTCCTCTATTCCTGGAGTTGGCCAGTGTATCGCTTCACTCTTTTTGTGCCTGATTTACTGCAGAAGGAGTAAATTGGTCGTTGTGTTTCCCCTCAGAACATGAATGGCTGTGGGAAGAAGGCTGTCCTAAGTACTGGAAGTCTTGGCCAGGCCTTCAGACTTTGATTGATTTGAAGTCAGGTCTTCAGTTAACCTGCACACAAAGAATTTCTCTCCTTGATGTTATTGGCTGTGTCTTCACTGTAGAACAGCTATACCCAGAAGCTCACCCTACTGTCGTTGTCCCCTGGGTGCACACACCAGCTCCATATCCATGCCACATGTTTTCCATCCACCTTGTGGGTTTATTTTATAAGGATATCTCTCCATCTATGAAGACAGGGAGCTTTTGTAAAGCTGCATACTCCAGGAGACCCTACAGTCCAGTCTGGGGAACAGGACTGCAGGTTGCCCCACAGCATGGACACCGTGTCTCCAGGAAAAGTGATACAAAGAGAAGCAGATACCTAGGACTACAACAGTACTGTCTTTTAGCTGATTTCAAGGGGTAAATATTTGCCATGTTCAGTGCAATCTCTACCTTAAATTTAAGTTTTACCTTCATGTAGACGTTTAGGATAGGAATCCTGTTCTCAGCAATCTCCTTCTTGGCCCCAACATAAACTTTTCCTGGAAAATATTGAACCTGTGACAGTTATTGAAGGGGGAAAAAAATGGAGGCTGTCAAAGAACTGAAGCGAAGAGGCGATTGTAGGTTCTCCAAGAAAATATATATTTCCTAAAGCATTGTTTCTAAATGAACTTTATCACAAGTGAAGAAACCGCAAATGGAACTTGACTTCTCCAGCATCCATAACTGGGAACTAGCTCCCCATCACCACTGCTTCCCGACAGCACACTACTCTTCAGGACAGCCTGGGGCTGAGCAAGCTGCTAATTGTACACACATTTGGTACTGAGAGCTTACCTGGCAGTATGGGAAGTGTGCAGGTAAAAGGGCTGCTTTGGCTCTCTGGCCCATATCTCTCTTCTAGTTTGGTGTGCAGGGCATAGAACTGACGATAGCGTCGGAAAATCAGGTACCTGCCACCACCTTTCAGCTTTACTTCAATGACAAACATCTGGAACAGAGAAGGGGGGTTCAAGCTGATGTGCATACCATAGGAACAGAACGTCAGTGGTCTGGTAGTGGGAATATTGTCTTAGGGGCAGAGTGGAAAGCAAGACTTCAGTTAAGCATCTGCAGATTCAGGTACTAGAAAATAACCAATGAGCATCAGACACTGTGGTATATGGGTGGGTCCAGGATCATGTCCCTCTGGCTGCTTTCCATTACATAATCTTAAAAAGAAATCTGAATTACTAGATGCTATTTGATGCTCGTACACTTTCCTGCAGTGTCAAAAAAAAAAATAAAAAAATAAAAAAAAACATATTAGAGAGGTAAAAACAAATATTTTATAGTAGAATGTTTTGGACATCTAAATCTCTAGACAAACATCCAAATGAATGGATTTTCAGGGGTGAAGGATTTCATACTGCTTTTTGACTTCAAAGTACACAACTTCAGAAATTATGGTCTGACCTCTTCCAACCACTATCTTCCTTCTTATCTTTTGCCCAAATTGCTTTGCTCTGAAGGAGCCTGCCATTTCCATGGATTAACCTCTGAGTCACATTGTAGCCAGATCCTTCAGAAAATATAAAGGCAGAGCAACCAAACATCTCTATATTCCAGAGTAAAACCTGCATGCTGCAGTGGGAAGGTTTTATGAGCATCATCTCCAGCAAAAGCAGCATAACCTGCAGAAGTCAGGTCGCTCTTTAGAAAACCTGATTTCCCTACTATTCCCTTCCTGTGTGCTCCTCCATGACTACTGTGCTACCTTATGTGGAGATGGAAGCATCCTCACAAATAACTAGTGATAGAACAAGAAGGAATGGCCTCAAGCTGCTCCAGGGGTGCATTAGGCTGGACTTTAGGAAGAGCTTTTTCACTGGAAGGGTTGTCAGGCATTGCAGCGTGCCCTGGGAGGTGGTTGAGTCACCATCCCTGGTTGTGTTTAAAAGCCATGGAGATGTGGTGCTCGAGGATTTGGCGCAGAGGTGGATTTGGTAGAGTAGGGTTAATGGTTGGACTCAATGATCTTAGAGGTCTTTTCCAATTGAAGTGACTCTATGATCCTAACTTGCTAGTACTATAGAATAATGGAAGACAAGTTCCTGCCCTTCTAACCTCTTTGAATTCCTTTCCCACTATCTTCACCAGAGATACAACACTTTAATAGGAAATAGATCAGAAATTAGGTAAGAATTTAGAAAACAAGCAATGTTAGACAATACCTCTGTCACATTCCACCCAGACAATGAAATTTAAGACCAAATCTGCCATAGACTAACCTCTATGCTGGAGAAAAGGAAGCACTGGGAAGTTCTCCACACCCAGCTATTCATGTCAAAAAGCAACTACACCAGATTAACTGCATTTTTCTTCCCACAACCAAATCAGTCCCAGACGAGGGCATATAGAGACAGCATAAATCTCCCTTCTTACATAATAATTAGTAAAGCCTTTCTTCTCTTCAATATCTGCAATATTAGCTGAAACAGGTACATCATCTGGAAGCTGGTCAAAATCACTGTGAAAAAGGAACAAAAGGTTTAGGTTACTCATACTGGTATTAGCCTTTGGAGGTCTCTATGCCATACAGAACAAAGATATTTAGGCAACATCACATTATCTAGTGTCCAAATCAAGAAGTTAGAAACTCGTGATGGCATTTGTGTTCTCTGGAAGTCTGATCTGGAGATATCAAGTTGTGTAAGTTCAGCACAAGTCAGTGACCGTTGTAAAGATTCATCAAGCCTAAAAAACATCCCTATCATTCCTAGGCTTCCTAGAGTAGCAGGGCTACAAAAGAAACACTTGAGCTTTCCCTGAGAAACCTGATCAACTGTGGATACATTCTTAATCCTTCCTTTAGTAGACCTACAATAACTCTGCAGAGGTATCTGTTATTCTAAGGAGATCATTAGATGATTTATACTGTTATTATTATTATTGCATCACTATAAGGAAGAGGAAAGAGCCCTGAGAAAAGAGCTTGCTGTGCTACGTGCTGTAGCAACTGGCAGCACAAAGGTAACTCATAAAACCTTTTTACTCTATGTGCAAGATGTATATCATGTACCTTAAACATATAAGAAACAACAGAAGGACAAGCACAAACAGAAAAGGGAAAAAAAAAGGCAAAGATACAAAGATATAGTATTGTTCTATAGCATAACTAGTGCCTGCACCAGCTGTCAGAATGTTGCCACGTTTCCTTGTAAACATGACAGACTTTCACAGAGGCTTTGATAAAAGAATGAGCAGCCTAGCAAACATTTACAGGGAGACCTCCCAGTCACCGTGGACAACCTGAAGGAAGCACAGAGATACTTGTTTGAAAATGCCAAAAATGTGTGAAGGAACACATGATAGTGGGTAAGGTTAGAACAAGCTTTGCAGATCCTAGAAGTGCTGGATTTGAAGCAAGAGAGAAGAAAGTAGCTCTGCAGGAACACCTAAAGATCAGCCATATGACCACACCCTTACGTTTCTTGTCTATATTCACCATACAATAAAATAGCATGGACTGGTAGGTGCTTTTTCCTCTGGGATCTTCTGCTTGGCATAACATCTTTGACAAAGAGAGGACAAAATGACCTTTGCTTCAGTCTTAGAACTCAATGTTGTTAGAGTGATATTTGTATTAACCCTTAAAAAGGGTCTAGAATGAGGAAGAAAGGATAACAAATGAGGTAGAGAGAAAGAGAAGCTTTAAAAAGGATCCTCTAAGAAATGTCAGGCTGATGTAATATTTAATATTCTGATAGCACAAAAACCAAGGCAGTTTATTCTGCTAGGAGAATATCCCAAGCAGGCACTCCCACAATGCATAGCCCATCTGGAAGGCTGAAGCAATGATGCAAAGTCTTGCAATAGCTGGACGAGGAGAATGGCATGAACCAGCACCACCCACAACACCGTAAATACTACCACTTACTGTGAAGAGGGATGTGGTAATGGAGATGAAGAGATATAATTAGTCATATCACAAACACTCACATCACAAACCCCAGGAAAAGGGAAACTGTTTGCATCTAAAAAGAGGACAATGATCCATTATTGTCCTACGTGGTGAATATTCCTCACAGGAAGAAGAAACTCCACTCCAACTTAAGAAATGGTCTGCTCCACATTGAGCAGCCTAGTTTGGAAGGTAGGATAGCAAGAAGCCTTCTAGAATCACCAAAGAAATGTGCATCCAAATGAAAAGAACAGTTACATGGAGGCTTGTGGGGAGGTGGGAGGAGGGAGGGACACACTACCTCTTTTCTCGCAGCTGTCGGGGAAGAGACATGGTTTTCAGCTTCTTAAATCCAGATGGCTAAGCTCTATTCCTCCACTTCTTGGCCAGTTCCTGGTTGGATAGGATGAAGACAGTCACAGCAGTTCTCCCTGTGTGAATCAAGACTCCTTTGCAAGGCCTCAGAGACCTTTTTTCAATGTTTCAGTGTCAGACGATTTCTCCTTTATCTCCCCACCCCCATGAGATTGAGGAAGTGCTAGAGAAAAAAAAAAGTCATAAAGAAAGACTGTTTGGTGATGTCTGTCATGTATCGAAACTGCACAGTTGAGAAACCAAAAGTTGAACAAAACCCAGAAACTACAAGTCACATATTCCATTGTCTACATTTTCTCTGAAACATCTGCCTCCACAGAAAGCCAGTATGAGTGGGCTCAACAAACTGGTTTGCCCCAACTAAAATGTCCCCATATACACCTCTACACTAAGATTTCTAAACTAGGATGAATGCTGCTGAATTATCCCCTTCTTGAGGCTCTGTGATTCCTGAGAATTCCCTTTTTCAAGGATCAGGAGCCAGGAGGTGGAGCTAAAGAATAAATTTTCAAGCAGGAGCAGAAAGTATGGTCAGGAAATTCAACCTTATCAAACATATGGGTACCAGGGTATCAAGCACAGGAGATTAGGAAATGAGCTTTGAAGGGTGGATCAATGTAAGGAAGATGTGAGTCCTTGAAAGAACAGAGATCTTTCCAGCTTTGTGTGCTCAATCCACATTTGTGACCTACAAAGTCAGGTTAATGGCTCACTCGAAGAGAATCCTGACTGCCCTGCCTTGTACACAAAGTGTAGTGATGGAGCCTTTGTATAACGTCAGAAGACAATCTTTCAAGAAGAAAATAAAAGGAACTGACAAGGAAACCATCATTTCCTAACACTGTGGATAAGCTGATCTGTCTTTATCAAAAGTTGTTACATGTAATATCTTCGCCTCCCATTTCAGTCTTTTGACTCTCTCCCATTTCCATGTTCAATACATATTTGGTTCCTTTTCCTCCTGCTGCTGCCCAGCACAAAAATTCTCATCTGAATGGAATAAAAGTCAACAAACATCTTTACAACTGGAACCATCAGCCTTGAGAGTCAGATGCATTTCACTGCATTTTAATGAGGTCATTTCTCCACCCATCCTTTTCCTGGGGATAACTGAAGGCACCATTCTAGACTTTGAGGTGATCTAGTGTCTCTTGATCAGAAGGGACTAGAGAAGCAACAAAGTTCTGAACTGTATTTTCTAAGTGATTTGCTACTCTGTGCCATCCACATACACTTAGCAAAGTAGTTTTAAGTGGTGATGTTGGGTAGAAGTATTTCCCCACACCTTCACACTGGACTGTCTGTTCCATTTTCATGACTAAGCCTGCTAAATGTGCAGTCCTCATGAAACCTGAAGTCAGGTTCATCATTCTCTTACCATTGCCTTGGGTGAGAAAGACAGTAATCAAGTTTTCCAACTGCAATCCTCTTGCTTTCTCCTGATATTTGGAAAGAAATCAGAACAGGTCACCTTGATCAGAATTCTTAATCACAAGATCAATCTATATGAACTCATGAAAATTCAGAGGGTGAGTCCTGATACCTGCAAAAGGATTGCACAAAAGTGTGCAAAGTTTAGCAGAAGTGAAAGAAAAAGGCTGGAGGGGTGCTTTTAGGTTCACTTTATATTTGATGCATATCACAGTTTTGACAAGAAAATCATAAAAAAGGATATTCTAATCTTGTAAAATCTTTTATAAGAAATTCTAGAAATTCTAGAAATGATGCAGGTACATCTTTTAAGAGACAAGGGATATGACACAATGCAAAAATACTCATTGTTTACCTGCAGACGTGGGTTTCCAAGAACATCTCAACAGACAACCTCACAGACAAAATTATCTATGCAGCTGCTTTGCTGTAAGCCACGTAAAGCAAATTGAGAGCAGCTCTGTAATTCCACCACTCTCTACTAGAGATTATATTAGTAATAATAGTAATCTGACAGGATAATGCTAAGAAAGTTTCTGATTCTACAATATTTCCCTGTTTCCTGGAACTAAACCAAAACAAACACCTTTTCTGATGAAAAGGTGTTTCCTACATCAGAAGAGCAAATAGCTGATTCATTAGAGGGCTCACAGAGGCTGTGAGAGACTAAGATTTGAAACACTGCTTGGCCATGTTCTTCTGTGCCAAATCAGTGCCTCAACTACCAAGTTTTCTCTCAATTTCTGCTGTTTGGGCTGAGGAAATGGTCTGGGTCTACTCCAACCCATTCCCTCTCTGATCAAATAACTGCTACTGACACGTAAAACAAATGTCCATCACAAAACTGATACCAAAATTGATACCACACCCAGGTCAAGAGATATGTCTGCACCACAAAAGTACCCAATTTCATCAGCTGACCTGGCCAGCTCTCAGTTTTGGGAAAATCCACCTATATACCACGGGTGGCGTGTTCACTAAGGCTCTATGCACTGATGCTCATCCATGTAGAAGAGAAAGTGGGTATCCAGGTGTAAGAATTACCAACAAATCCAGGAATTAAAGGAGACTGCTAAGAAAATCCTCAGATGACTGACTCGTGACCATATGCTGATACCATTATGAGCCTTTTTGCAGTTCAGCTCCTACTGTATTATTTCATAATAAGAAACAGAAGGACATGGACCTGTTTGAGCAGGTCCATGAAGATGATCAGACGGATGGAACACCTCTCCTGTGAGGACAGGCTGAGAGAGTTGAGGTTATTCAGCCTGGAAAAGAGAAGGTCCTGGGGAGGCCTCATTGAGTATCTCAGTATCTGGAGAGGGTCTACAAGAAAGCTTGGGAGGGACCTTTTATAAGGACTTGTAGTGATAGGATGAGGGGTAATGGCTCCAAGCTGGAGGAGGTTAGATTTAGATTAGAAATTAGGACTAAGTTCTTCACTATGAGGGTGGTGAGATGCTAGAACAGGTTGCCAAGGGAAGTTGTGGATGCTCCATCACTGCATGTGTCCAAGGCCACGTTGGGTACAGCCTTGCACATCTAGTGGGAGGTGTCTCTTCCCATGGCAGGTGGGTTGGAACTAGATGATCTTCAAGGTCCCTTCCAACCCAAACCATTCTATGAGTCTACAATTTTGGCCATAGATGTCTGTGAGCTGTGAAGTTGTGACCTTCTGTCTAACGTAGATGTTTCAAAATATTTGTACAAGGATCCACATCACCTTGGAAATCTGACCACAGCTATAGCCAAACAGTCAGAGCAAGCATGGAATTTTAATGGACATGAGCTGCTAATGAAAGATAAATCAAAGAATCATAGCAAAAAATACTCACCTGAATCAATTCTGCTGGCTGCACTTCACACCATGTCTACCAGGACAGCAGCTGCTGCATCTTTTTGGCTGTGCATGTCTGTACACTCCAGAATAATTTCTCTCTGATGCACCTCATGTTAGAAAAGTGCCACTTAGTTATACTCAATCACCAGCCACACAATAAATCTATTATGTGACAGAAGAACTTGAACCAAAAAAAAAAAAAGACATCTTAAAAGATGTTTGGTCTCATCACAGATTAATCTGTAAAGAAAATAACATTTTAACAACCACTGTGAGGAAGCTGAACATCAAATAGAAGACACTTCCATTCAACCTATTGTTTTAAAAGGATATATGGAATATTTGTTTCTGTAGCAGTTGAGTGTCTTTTCTTCTGTGGTTGCTTGAGACTGAGCTGCAACTGATAATCCTGTTCTGGGAAAAGTGATTTGGGGCTATATCCCACATTCCATTCCTATTATATACTTGCACAGATTGTGCTTTTATGGTTACCATCAGCTTTACAGAACACTTTAGGACACTTTATAAATATTTCTTTTCAAATACAGTCATGTTTAATCTCCTTATCATTATTGTAATAGCACATGAATAATGAATTGCAGGTCTTCAAAATTTTTGGACAAAAGTTACATTAGATAAGCTACTCAGGTGTGCTCTGTAATCCTAAGTGAGGGTAGTGCTACAAAATCCTTAGAAGGCCATATAGCCTCAGAAAAAGTCAAGACAAAGGAGGAGTCTGCCATGGTAGATGA